CTCCTCTTCCCGTCTTATCTCTTCTCTCTCTCTCTCCCTCCCTCCCCTCCCCTCCCTCTTCCCCTCTCATCTTCTCTTGTCTTCTCTCTCTCCTCTCCTCTCTCTCTCTCCTCATCCTTCTCTCTCACTCTCTCTCTCTCAACTCATCATCTCTTCTTTCCTCTCTCCTCCTCTCTCTCCTCTCTCTCTCTCTCTCTCTCTCTCTCTCTCATCTCCTCCTCCTTTTTCTCTTCTCTTCTTCTCCTCTTCTCTCTCTCTCTCTCTCTCTCTCTTCTCTCTCTCTCTCTTCTCTCTCTCTCTCTCTCTCTCTTCTCTCTCTCTCCTCTCTCTCTCTCTCTCTCTCTCTCTCTTCCCTCCTCCTCTCCCTCTCCACTTCTCTCCCTCTCTCTCTCTCTCTCTCTCTCTCTCTCTTCCTTTCCTCTCTCTTCTATCATAATATATACAATGAACATAAGATCCTCCTTCTTAGAATTCTGCTGCTGTCCGACTTTTATATCAATATTCACTGTTTGACTGGCTTGTCTCTCTATTTAATGAATACAGGCTCTCCAGACCATACGCTTACATGTGTGTGTGTGTGTGTACGATTGGAATTGGTTGTGTGTTGTCGTGTTTGTGTGTGTGTGTGTGGTGTGTGATGCTGTGTGTGTGTGTGTGTGTGTGTAGAAATTCTTACTTATTACTAATGACACTGAAGTAATGTTTCTGTGTAGTGTGTGTGTATGTGTGTGTGTGTGTTGTGTGTCTGGTCCGTAATAAGCGTTGGTTGAGGTCGGTGGGTCTTAAGGAGAGAGAGCAGAGAGAGAGAGATGACGAAGATGCGAGCACGAGGAGATGACGAGAGAGCGAGAATGAAGGAGTGCAGAGGGGATGAGAGAGAGTACAGCAGGACTCCGAGAGGATGGCTAGATGAGAGATCCTGGACCCACCCGCGAGAATAGTCTCACCTGACACTGACGAAGAGAAAAGAAAAAAAAGCGCAAAGAAAAAAAACGAAATAAAAAAAAACAGGAAAAAAGAACAAAAGAAAGAAGAAAAGAAATGAAAAAATAAAAAGAAAAAAAAACAGGAAAGAAAGGAAAAAAGGAAAAAGAAAGAAAGAATGCATTGTCAAGAAAGAAAGAAAAAAAAAAAAAAAAAAAATGATATTATATATATATATAGTATATAGTATATGATAGTATATATAAATAGTAATATATAATAAGGAGGAGGAGAGGAGAAATGACGAGAGAAGAGAGATCCAGACTGATAGCTCAGAGAAGAGAGAGAGAAAAGGAAGTGAAGCACCACCGAACGATAACACGAGACGACAGGCCACCCATTCAGCCACTAAGCCGGAGAAGAGGACAGAGAGACGACCAAAGAAACACGGCACGTCACCGAGACAAAAAAGAGAGACAGAGAAAGAGAGGAGGAAGAGAGACGACGCCAGAAGAAGAAAGCATGAGAGAGAGGATTGAGATGGAGAGATCAGAGAGATGAGAAGGAGGGCTACGAAGGATCGATGGGACGAACGGGAGGTGAGGGACAAGAGCGACGAGAAACAGCAGAGAGACAGAGAGTGACGAAGAGAGCAATGAGAAGAGAAGTTGAAGCAGAGAGAGGACGAGCCGGGAGAGAGTGAGGAGAGGACAGAGAGAGGTGACGGGAGGAGAGGAGAGAGAGAACAGCAGCAGAGAGAGAGTAGATGGCGAGAGGAGAGAGAGAGAGAGAGAGAGAGAGAGAGAGAGAGAGAGAGAGAAGAGAGACAGAGAGAGACCGTCGATCAGAGCCAGACACAGAGCAGAGAGAGAAGGACAGGACAGAGACAGACAGACAGGCAGACAGACAGACAGAGACAGACAGACAGACAGACAAGCAGACAAGCAAACAGAGACAGACACAGACGAACCGACAGACAGAGACAGCGTCCGTTTATAGGTATGGGCTATGGCTATTTACTCTCTAATTTATGCATGAAGGTAAACTGGGCCCCATCGATAGTGCCTCGCCTTAATAACACGTAGGGAGGACCTAGGGAGCACAGGCCCTTTGCCGTAAATATTTGATTATGTGATTAAGCGTCACTAATAAGTCAGAGAAGCACATTATGTTTTCGAATCGAGAAGGAAAGGAAAAAGAATTGGTATAGGAAAAGGAAAAAAAGAAACGATGAAGACGAAAGAAAGGAAGATGAAAAGGAAGAGAGAAAAAATGGAAAAGGAAAAGAAGACGAGGATGAAAGAAAGAAAGATGGAAAGTAAGAGAGAGAGAAGGAAAGGAGGAGGAAGAGAAAAAAAAGAAAAAGAAGAACGACTAAGAGCAGGAGAAGGAGCACGAGAAAAAAAATATATCCTCATACATTGTCTGAAGAAAAGAAGAGAGAAAGAATGGAGAAGGAGGAAGAGAACGTAGAACAAAAAAAGTAAAAGAAACACAACGAAGAGGAAGAGGAGGAGGAGGAGAAAGAGCACGAGAAAAAATAATACATAACCTAATTACACTGTCTGATTGTACCCCTGTCATAGAGGTGTTCGCGGTTGGTAGTAAGCCAACCAAATTGCCATCGACCGGCTCTCGTTAACACTTCTGGAATCTCTATGTCGATTTCAACTAACGAGGTCGCTCGGTTCCCTTTGTAAGCACTCGGGCCTCTGGACTTGTACTTATATATTTATTTATATATCTAGTTTTTTATTATTTATTATATGTATAATTTGTTATTTGTTATTTATGTATATTTATATATTTATTTATTCTGTTTATTTATCTCTTTATTATATGTTTCTATTTATTTATTCTTCTATTCATTCTTTTGCACGGACTGCATGCGTCTCTAAAATACGGATACCTGGAAGAAGGGTGTTATCTAGCTCTCCAGAGACGGTTCATCAACGTAGAGGTCATTCGGTGATCGTTCGAGGTTCAATGAAAATAAAATAATTGTGGAGCGTTAGATATTTTCTTCTTCAATAAAAGTATGATCATGTAAAGGTATGTATTGATAACGAGCGATTTTCATGTCGAATGGCGCGAGGTTTGAACGCGAAGGACTAATTTACAAAAGACGTTCGATAGTCTTTGTTAGTACTAGTTCTAACTGACTATGCGGTTTGCACTGAACTGACTACGTGGCTCGAGTGCACAGCATACCCGCCAGAAGGGCTTCCAATACATCCTATGTATGCATACACGCACACACATGTATACATCTATACATACATATATGTTCATATCCACATATATATTTGTTCATACATATACGTATGTATATATATGTATATCCTCATGCAATGCACATTATACACTGACATTTCAAGTCTACACACAGCGTAAAATTTCTATCTGTTCCACAGCTCGTTTTCAGGTAATCATTATCAACAAAACTCACTGTATCCGCAGTCCGAGTTTTTCATCATCATTAAACCAACGGGCCTCTCAATCCCGCCCACGCACAACCCACACCACCACGGCAATCACCAACCCTTGTTTTATCCAGTAGAAATACATACAAGAAATACAAAAAAAAAAAAATATTAATCCCTCCCCCCTCCCCCCATTAAGGACGCCCTCTACCTCCTCCAAGCGCGACCGATCACGACGCTGGACTCCTGGACGGACTTCGAGCTCCTTCATGAACAGGACTCGGCTCATCTCACAGACCACGAGCTCTACACTAAAGCCAACGTTGAGTAAGTAGGAATTGTACGGTAAGGAGGACATGCGAAGGTAAGCAGAAGGCGATTAAGGTAAATTGGGAATGGAGGGTAAGTAGAAATTGTAAGAAAAGGAGGACATGCGAAGGTAAGCTAAAGGTGATTAAGGCAAATGGAGGGTAAGTAGGCTGAGGGTGATTAAGGCACTTTGGGAATGGAGGTTAAGTAGGAATCGAAGGGAAGGAGGACATGCGAAGATAAGCAGAAGTATGGCAAGTTGGGAATGTAAAGTAAGTAGGAATCATAAGGCAAGTACGAGATGCGAAGGTAAGCAAGAGTGTGTCAAGCTAGGAATGTGAGGTAAGTAGGAATCTTAAGGTACGGGGGACATGCAAAAGTAAGCAAAAGGCGTCCGTAAGGCCAGTTAGGAATGGAGGCTAGGTAGGAATCATAAGGGCACGCGAAGGCTAAGCGGAGGGCGTCCGTAAAGCAAACTGGGAATGTAGGGCAAGTGGGAATCGTAAGATAAGGAGCGTATATGAAGGTAAGAATGAGTAAGACAAGCTGGGAATGGAGGTTAAGGAAAGTCAACGTTAAGTAAAGTAGGACACGTAAGGTAAGGAGGGAATGCGAAGGAAGCGAAAGGTGGAGGACAAACTGGGAATGTAGAAGTAGGTACTGTAGACTAAACTGCTGTTAGGGTAAGTAGGAGCCTTTTTAAACACTTTTTAAACCGTTACCTCTTGCTCGATTGGTTAAATGCAAGTTGTCAGTAACAATGTTTTTTTCTGTTTCGCCTTTTACTTTTGTGAATGATTATTCATTCATTATTGATCTGCTCACCCCCATTAATCTCCCATCTTCCTCTTCCTTTTTCATCTCATTATCTCCCCCCCCCCTCCTTCTGCCATCTCACTATCCTACCTTCCATTAACCTCCCCATCCCCGACCTCCTTCTATCCCTGCTCATCGTCTCTCCATCATTTTCCCCATCTCCCTCTTCCATTCCCCCCGCTCCATTAAACACTCTCTTCCCCCCATCTCCCTCTCTCCCAATCACTCCCTATGAACCTCCCTCTCTCCCACATCTCCTCACTCCCCCTTAACCTCCCCACCCCCCACCCTCTCCCCTTCTTTAACCTCCTCTCCTCACCTCCCATTAAACACTCTCTTCCCCCACCTCCCTCTCTCCCAATCACCCCCTATGAACCTCCCTATCTCCCTCTCTCCCCATCTCTCCTCACCCCCCCCTTAACCTCCCCAACCCCCCTCTCGCCTCCTTTAACCTCCTCTCCTCACCTCACTTTCTCTCTCTCTCCCCCCAGCGAAGTTCTCCAAGGAAGGATCTCCCCTCTGACCTTATCTATCCTGCCATCCGTCCTGGACGTGGTCTTCCAGAGGGACTCCATTCGCTGCAAGTGGCCGGCTGTCCCCTTCGACCCGCACCACGTGAAGCTCTGCCCGACGTTCGCTTCGCAGTTCTTCCTCAACATGATCGAGGTGAGGGAGCAAGGGCAGAGGGGAGGGAGGGAGGGGAAAGAAATGGAGAGGTGAAGGAAGGGGAGGAGAGAGGGAGAGGAGAGGATAGGGGGAAGGAGAGTGAGGGAGATAGGGTGGTAAGAATAGAGAGAGAGAGAGAGAGAGAAGAGAGAGAGAGAGAGAGAGAGAGAGAGAGAGAGAGAGAGAGAGAGAGAGAACGAAAGCGAGAGCGAGAAAGTAGAGCCACCCACCAATACATTAACGCAACAATAACCTCGCCAGATGCAATACCAGTTCATCCAAAGCAGTGAGGTGAACGCCACTTGCCAGGCCATTGACCTCGCTGTGTTCGGCCACGAGGTCACGACCCCGCAGTTCCTGGCCTGGGGCACCGAGCGCTTCGGAATGATGAACAGGATGACCCTCCTTCAAGTCTTGTTCAACCTGATTTACGTATGTCATTCCAGAGTTCGTTTTTCGCGATTTCCTTTGATTTAATGAATAATTTTTATATTTAATTAATAATTTTTTATATTTGATTAATAATTTTATTTTTAATTAATAATTTTTATTTTAATGATTAATAATTTTTTATATTAATTAATTAATTTTTAATTTTTAATAATTTTATATTTGATTAATAATTTTATATTTAATAATAATTTTTATATTTATTAATAATTTTTATTTTAATAATATTTTTTATATTTAATTAATAATTTTTATATTATTAATAATTTTTATACTTAATTAATAATTTATTATTTTTTATTAATTTTTTTTAATTAATAATTTTTATATTAATTAATAATTTTATATTCTATGTTCATTTTTCGATTTCCGTTTATTTAATTAATTTTTATATTCTGTTTTACTGTAAAGTCTGATTCAACCTGATTTATGTGTTATTCTAAGCTTCCTTTTTGGATTTCCGTTTATTGATTAATAATTTATATATATTTTAGGTTTGGCGTAGATTTTGACTCAGGTATAGTTAACGGAATGAAATGGCCGTTTGATTTTGTTTCATTTGATGTCAATAAGAATTTTCTTCCGTATAGGATTCGGAGGTTTAGCGAAGTATCGGTATATTTAATTCATAGCTTTACTTCATTTTAGTATTTTAGATTTTCATCCTGTTCAGCAAAGATATGATGTCCTCTAAAATAAAATATATAATTTTCTTTTTTTTTTTTACTCTATACCTGTAGTATCTTAAACAATCCACTCCCCAAAAGAGAAGGGGTTTCGGTATAAAAAAAGAAAAATAATAAAAAATGAATTATTGATAGATGGGTAGGTAGATAGATATAAATGGGTAGATACAGATAGATGGATCGATTCCAGAGAGAAATGAAGCTAGGCACAAATGCTCAGTCATATTTCGATCTTTCTCACACTCCCGGTCTATCTTCACCGTCATTCTCACAAACACGAATAACAAATTATTCATAGATGGGTTGGTAGATACACAGAAATAAATTGATAAACAGAGATAGATAGATAGATAGATAGACTGATTCCAGAGAGAATTATCTAAGCACAGATGCTCAGTCATATTTCGATCTTTATCACTCACCAGGACTGCCTTCACCGAGCCATTCTCACGAACACGGACAACAAATTATTGATAGATGGGTAGGTAAATAAGAAATAAATGGATAGACATAGATAGATAGATCGATTCCAGAGAGAAACGGAGCTAAGTACAAACGCTCAACCATATTTCGATCTTTATCACCCACCCAGACCACTTTCACCGACCCATTCTCACATAGACAGGACCTTTCGCGATCTCTTTCAGGACAAGTTCGCCAACGGCAGCCGAGTCAGCAGAGGCCGGCAGAAGTTCGGAGATTACTGTCTGGATCAAGGAAGAAGTACGTTGTCTCCCGAGGCTCTCTATTCCGATATCACGAATCATCTCCCAGATATGGTTGAGGTGAGGCGTTGGACTTCCCTTTTCTTGTTTTTTTTTGCTTGTTTTTCGTTCTCCTTTCTTTCTTTCTTTCTTTTTCTTACCTTATGTTATTATTTTTGCTACTATCTTCTACTATCTTCTTCTATCTTCTTTATTCTCTCTTCGCTTCGTCTCTGGGTTTCTTTTTTTATATACTCTACTCTTGAAATCTTGTTCTGTCTTTAACCTTCATATTCGTTCATTTGTTTGTGTTAATTATTCGATAAAATCTTTTGTTTATCTGTTTCACTCTTTTTAAGCTTTCTAAGCTTTCTCTTGCGAGTCATACTATTGTCGTACAGGTTTTATTTTCAGTTCATATAAACAAGCCTTTTTACAATATATATCTATATAAACAAGCATTTTTACACAATATGTATGGATATAAACAAGCATTTTTACACATGTATCTATGTTTTTACACATTGTATCGATATAAACAAGCATTTTTACAATATATATCTATATAAACAAGCATTTTTACACAATATGTATCTATATAAACAAGCATTTTTACACAATATGTATCTATATTTTTTTGTATCGCAAGCATTTTTACACAATATGTATCGATATAAACAAGCATTTTTACACAATATATTTCTATATAAACAAGCATTTTTTATACTTTAAAATCGACTTTCTGACGACCGCAGGGGAGCCACAACCACGTCCTCACGAGCAAGTTCAGCTCCAGCAGCCAGTGCATCGCCCTCCAGATGCTGGCGGAGAATAACACGGGTAAGAGGACGGAGGGTGTGTGGGGGTTAAATGGATGAAAGGGAGATGAGGAGGGCGAGAGCGGGTAGTGAGGGAGAAAGGAACAGAGAAAGATGGAGGGAGGGAGGAAGGAAGGGAGAGATGATGGAAAAGTATGATTTATATATATATATATATATATATATATATATATATATATATATATATATATATATATAGAGAGAGAGAGAGAGAGAGAGAGAGAGAGAGAGAGAGAGAGAGAGAGAGAGAGAGAGAGAGAGAGAGAGAGAGAAGAGAGAGAAAGGAGAGAGAGAAGAGGTGAAACGAGAGAGAGAGAGAGAGAGAGACAGACAGACAGAAGAAAGAAGGGGAATTCCAACCAGTACACCTTTTCCTTCCCTCGGCAGAGCTCAGCGAGGACAACCGGACGGACATCGCCCTCCTCCTCTCCTCGTGCACCGGCGTCGAATCGGCCGATGTCCCGACGGCGCTGAAGGTAAAGCCAAGCCGTTTCCGCGAGGGTTAAAGGGCAACCTCGCAGACGCCACTAATGCAATATTTCTCTTGATTTTAGAGCTTTGATTGAGATTTATATTCAAGGCTAGATAGCTACTTATGTATACATTTGCAAGGAGATACACACAAACACACACACACACACACACACACACACACACACACACACACACACACACACACACACACACACACACACACACACACACACACACACACACACACACACACACACACACACAAACAATAGCAACAACAAATACACCACAAACACACACGACACACCAGCCACACGAGTACACACCCGTCGAGCACAAGTGAGACAGCCCCCCTCGCCCCCTCCTCCCCCTCCAGGCTTTAGCTCGCGTGATCGCCGAGAACGAGGAGGTGGACGACTTCCTTGGCATGACAGGAGACGAGGCTCAGGTGTGGCTGGAGAGCGACCCCGGCCTCGTCGGCACCGCCTTCAGGGCCTTCCTCGCCAGGCACGGGCATCGCTGCATCAAGGAGGTAGGGAAGCACTGGGAGGAAGTTGTGATGTGTGGCGTGTTATATAGACAGATGTAGATAGATAGATATAAATAATAGATAGATATAGATGAATAGATAGATAGATATAAATAAATACATAGATATAGGAATAGATAGATAGATATAGATAAATAGATAGATAGATATAGATGAATAGATAGATATAAATAAATAGATAAATAGATCGACATAGATGAATAGATAGATAGATATAGGTAGATAGATATAGATAAATAGATAGATATAGATAAATAGATACATAGATATAGGTAAATACATAGATAAATAGATAGATAGATTTATATGTATATAGAGGGACATATTGTTATTACATCACATTGTACAATAGTAGCTTTAATGATTTCTTTGATATTTGTATTCTGAAGTTGAAGAACCCTTGGCTGAAATGAAAGTCGTATGTTCATTTAAAACAAAACTCAAAATTTCAAAGGAATGAAATTACGTTTCGAACTAGATTTTATATAATTACGCTTCATAAGAAACATTAATTTGTGTATAAATTAATGTGTTTACGTTTGTTTTTATATGCTCATTGTTAACGGTGTAACTAAACTGAAAGCTGATCGTGTACTTATATATAAATGTAAATGCCTCAACCATTATTGTTTGATCATATCTAAATGAAAGTATTTTATCTGAACTTAATTCTACTTGTTTCTCACACTAGTTCTCTCTCTCCAGCTCGACCTTCACTCTGTGTCTTGGGGAATGGACCCTCACACGCTCGTCCAGACGCTGCAGGTAAAGATTTATAGGCCTATTTGAGAAGAAAAAATGGAAAAGAATGAAACTTTTAAAAGCTTAATTTTAGCGTAGACTTTGATTTCACTATATGTTAATTGATTGTGACTTTGGAACTGTACATAGTTTGGCTTATTTTGGACAAAGAAAATCTGCTGTCGAAGGATTATGCGTAGAGAATGTAAGGCGTCAACACGCATGTATGTTTGCACTGCAGTTACGTAATCCAACAGGTGATGGTGCGGCATCCCAGTAGCTACACGAGTGTGAAGAAAGTTACTTCCATCGACCAAGCTCTTGACAGCATCAGAAGTCAAGTGACGCCCAAGACCAAGTAAGGAAAGGCGACTGTGATGAGTATAGAGGGAGTGTTAATAGTGGTGGTGATGCTACTAGTGGTGGTGAATGGTGACTTTTTTCTCATTTGTAATGGTAGTATTGGTGAGATTTCTGATGACGATAGTCGTGATTGTATTGACGTATGGATTAATGTTGATTAATCTGACAATGATATTGATAATTAAATCCATAACGAAAATGATGAAGGAAATGACATCAGCGTAGATACAAGGAAACAATACTGATATCTCCCTCGCATAGATATCAACAAGCAAACCACCAGCTCCTTCCCTTCACGCACTCGACACAACTGACGAAAATGACCAAATAGATAAACTAATAACAGAACAAAATAACTAACCCTTCTTCTCCTCTCCCGCAGACGCTCGCTCAAGTTCGTGCTGCCCATGTGTCGCGAGGCCGTCGTGAACCGCGAGGCCACCAAGTCTCAGATCGTGAAGATCCTCGACGGCTTCCGGAAGGCGTACAGGTAGTGCGGAGGGCGCCGGCGGATATATATATATATGTATATATATATATATATATATATATATATATATATATATATATATATATATATATATATATATATATGTATGTACATATGTGACTAATAACCACTTTTCTGTACCATTTCACGCAAACATTTGTTTTACACGGAATAATTTGATCCCCCCCCCCACCTCCAGGAACCTAGGTCAGCTCATGGTCTCGGAAGCGCGACTGCCTGACGCCGACCTTATCTTCTATCTGAAGCACAGCGAGATCGGCGAACTCATTAGGACTCGGTCTCCAAGCCTTATTGCGAAGTATGTAATTGGCAACTTAGGAAGAAGTGTAGAATATAAGGGAAATTATATGATTTATGACTGGTCGTGTGATGGAATTAGAATTATATATGAATTCTAATCTTTTCATTTCAGTACGTGTGTTTATGTTTGCGATTTTATTATGTGTTATATTTCAGACAAAGAGTATTTCACAGGCTATAATGCTTTTGTTTCCTTTGAAAATTACCAGTAATTTTTATTTTATTTCATTTTCTTCTTGTCATCTAAAGAGCAGTGCGAAGGAAACGGCTCGACGCGCAGATTGAAGCCACGAAGTTCCCTGAAATCTCCGTCGGATTGCCGCGGCCGGTCAGTTGCATCTCGTATTGTTGCAAAGTTCCCTTTCAACTTTTCGAGGAAATATGATACGAGAGGAAAATTTCTACTTACCAATATGATACGTTTTTTAAAAGGATTTCATTATTGTTATTACCAGCTGCTGTATTTGTAATTTTACAACCATTATTATTATTTCACCGTTGGAATCGAAATACAGCTGCTATTGTCACTATCACTATTACTGCTCTTATTGATAATGATCTTAATGTTCATTCATTATTCGCTTGTAGTATCATTACCATTCATCATTACTTTAACCCATAATTATTTACGGTTATAGATCTCTGCCAGTGAGTCCTTCGTCGTGCCCTCTGACGGCAGCGAGCTCGTTCTGCAGGGAACCCCCGTGTGCCAGGGCATGGTCACCGCCCCCGCCAGGATCATAACGGACCTCAAGGATGCGCCGACCATACAGGTACGTCCAGGCGAGGCTCAGGTGAGAGAGGGGGATGGAGGGAGGGAGGGAGAGAGAGGGAGAGGAGAGAGAGAGAGAGAGAGAGAGAGAGAGAGAGAGAGAGAGAGAGAGAGAGAGAGAGAGAGAGAGAGAGAGAGAGAGAGAGAGAGAGAGAGAGAAGAGAGAGAGAGAGAGAGAGAGAGAGAGAGAGAGAGAGAGAGAGAGAGAGTGAGTGAGAGAGAGAGAAGAGAGAGAGAGAGAGAGAGAGAGAGAGAGAGAGAGAGAGAGAGAGAGAGAGAGAGAGAGAGAAGAGAGAGAGAGAGAGAGAGAGAGAGAGTGAGAGTGAGTGAGAGAGAAGAGAGAGAGAGAGAGAGAGAGAGAGAGAGAGAGAGAGAGAGAGAGAGAGAGAGAGAGAGAGAGAGAGAGAGAGAGAGAGAGAGAGAGAGAGAGAGAGAGAGAGAGAGAGAGTGAGAGTGAGTGAGAGAGAGAGAGATAGAAGAGAGAGAGAGAGAGAGAGAGAGAGAGAGAGAGAGAGAGAGAGAGAGAGAGAGAGAGAGAGAGAGAGAGAGAGAGAGGAGAGAGAGAGAGAGAGAGTGAGAGTGAGTGAGAGAGAGAAATAGATAGAAGAGAGAGAGAGAGAGAGAGAGAGAGAGAGAGAGAGAGAGAGAGAGAGAGAGAGAGAGAGAGAGAGAGAGAGAGATAGATAGAAGAGAGAGAGAGAGAAAGAGAAAGAGAGAGATGAAAAAAATAGCAAAAACAATAAAAAATAAAACTGACCTACACGACAACCCCGAAACTCGACCCCTCACACGACGGCCTCTCCCCTCGCTCAGAACGGCGACATCCTGGTGACCCACAGCACGGACGTCGGCTGGACCCCCTACTTCCCGCTGCTGTCTGGCGTCGTCACGGAGATCGGCGGCTTGGTCTCGCACGGTACCTGTTCTCTTTGTTTGCGCTTTTTCTTTATTGATTGTTTTTGTTTGTTTGTTTGGTTATTGTTATCTGTTTACGCTTTTTATTCTGTCTGTTTGTTTTTGTTTTTATTTACTGTTTATTTTTTTCAGTTGTTTGTATTTTTTTTCTTCAATTTATTTATTCATTATTTAATCTTTTCTGTTTTGTTTGTTTATCCACTCTTTTCATATATTTATTTGTTATTTTTCTGTTCTGCTTTTTTATTTACTCTTTTTAGTCACGTTGTTGACACCCTGCATCTTTTAAAGATTTATATTGTGTATATTATTTAAACTCGAATTGATATGGTGTTATGATAAGGATGAATTTGCAGGCGCGGTGGTTGCGCGCGAGTACGGGCTTCCGTGCGCAGTCGGGATAGCGGCGGCCACGTCCATTCTGCGCTCAGGTAAGTCGAGTACACACACATTGCGCGCGCGAATATATATTCACATACACAGATATAGTATATATATGTATATGGATATGCGGGAACATATAGAAACATATGCATGTATAGGCATGCACGCATATGCATGAGCACACGCATGCATGCACACACACACACACACACACACACACACACACACACACACACACACACACACACACACACACACACACACACACACACACACACACACACACACACACACACACAGCACACACATACTCAAAATTGAGCCATTCTAACTGGATTATAGTAACGGTAGACGGCAGTTCTAGCATCATAATTCATTCAATTCCATATCATTATCTTGCTGTGATCACAAGCCTTGCTCTCAATAACATTAAAACATTTATTCCTCAGCAATGTATCTGGCGCATGGTCCTGGCGAGACAAAATTTATGAATGCGATTATTGAGCGAGTGCCTGGCTACACCCCCTCTCTCAAATATTCATTGATCACTATTGATTGCTTTCTCTTTTTATAGCATTTATCCACATTCTGTTTTATTTCTGTCTTCTTTTTTTATTTTTAGCCTTTTCCTTCAGACAATTATAGAGCGTCCTCTAGTTTTTTTATTTTCATATCTTCGAACTTAGGAAAGTTTTGTATTTCCTTTCAAAAAAGAATAATTTAGGCCGACTGAAAGATCGAAAGCTTAAGCTCTTGAACACAGACACAGAAATGTGTACACAAAGATGAACAGGAAGACAGCCACAGTTGTTTATGTAAATAAAAACAAATATACTTATCAACTTGTTCCAAAGATCAAGGTGTCCGCAGTTTTACTCTTTGAAACAGCGAAATCCTTCCATCTTTCGCAATCTTCTGCGGTCTTTCAGGCTTCTTGGAGTTTTAAAGATGCTCAGTGCTAGATGTTTGAAAGCCAGGTTTTTCTTGGTCTTCCTCTTCCTCCTTTTCTCAAGGATCACTGCCAGGCACGGTCGAATTCACTAGACATTCTTCTTCGTTGACAGAGGATTTATTTCTTATATTATTGACTTTAGTGTTTCCTAATCATTCTTTTTGGATTCTTTCTTTTCTCACGCTGATATTTTACCACGAATGTTAAATGGTATTTAAAGAACATTTTCGAAATATTTCATTTACCCTTTTCTCGCATTTTGCATTCAGCATCTAAGAAAGATAACCGTACGTTGCAACAGGTAAAACAATTGTCCACATGTATTGGATAGGACTTTCTCTCTCTCTCTCTCTTTGCTCTTTCTCTGAGCTCATCTCCGTTCCATAATTTGCCTTTAAAAGTTAATTTTCTAAATTTAATATACGTTTATCCAGTTCAGTCGATGTCATTTTAAATTGTTGGCTACACAGCCATTTACCATTATTGTTACATTACCATCGACACCATCATGAAGAGTTCAAGGAAATATTAGGTAAATGAGGAGAGATGCCGAAGCACTAGTTAACTCTGGAAGTAATTGCTTGACAAATCACCAGCAAACAAGACCTTGCGCGTTCAAAGCATTGTTCACTTTGTTACTGTAAAAGTGATGCTATATTTCATCATTAACCAAATCACTTGAAGTCCCCTACCTGTCGAAGGTCTCACAAACATTCATAAAACCGTGGGAGTCCCAGCAACTTCGCAGCGATTGTGCATTTCCGAAACCAAGCTTTTATTTCTCATTCCATTCGACTTACGAATAGAGATAAGACAATATCGGGATAATTATGGTAAGTGATTTTGTCCATTTCGCTGCCAATCGCCTGTTTTCATAACTTATTGTTTATTTTAAGCAATACTTCTGTCATGCTATTAGTCCCACTTTAAGAAGCTCAGAAATTAATGAGAGAGAGAGAGAGAGAGAGAGAGAGAGAGAGAGAGAGAGAGAGAGAGAGAGAGAGAGAAGAGAGAGAGAGAGAAAGAGAGAGAGAGAAAGAGAGAAAGAGAGAGAGAGAGAGAGAGGAACACGGAAATAGAATCCATATTCAATGAAATATGTAATTATAATTTAGTTTTTACCTATCATTACTAACTATTCACTGTAGGAATAATAAGCACGCCAAAATTGTGGGAGGCATAAGAATTTTTTTGTTAAAGATATTTTCTGATCTTGATGTTTCAAAACTCAGTAAATTTCTTGAATTTCTTTTTATATAGTTATTTCACCATTCCTTCCAGAATCCTTAGCGACGTTCTGTGGAACCCAGGGTAGGAACCACCAGCTTCAGATTCCTGTCCCTTAAGACATAAAAGGAATACAAAACCTTCTTCATTGCAGGTGACACCATCATTCTCAACGCCACGAAGGGAACGGTTACCCGAGTGGAATCCAAGGCGACGTCAGGAGATTAGACCTTGAAGGCTCTGGGGCTCGATAGCCTTGCATTTCATTCTTCTGTTGTCTCAGCGTCTTCTGTCTGTCAGTTTCTTTGTATGTGTGTGCCCGGTTGCGCGGTTTTGACATTTTTTGTGTGTATATATATGTGTGTGTGTGTGTGTCAGTTTCTTTGTGTGTGTCTATACTTGAGTATGTGTGATTAAACGGGTCTTGATATGTGATTTAGATAGACTGGCAAGCCGTTTTACCTCAACTGATGAAGTTTTCTTTATATCTTAGAATTTAAAGATGCAAAAATTTATATATTCTTGTGTCTTGTATATTTTGTTGAAATTTAATGTATATATCTTGCAGAAATAAACTTTGTTATTTCCCCATGAAGAGTGTTATAATTACTTCCTTTTCTTATCCATATATATATATATATATATATATATATATATATATATATATATATATATATATATATATATATTATATATATATAGCCATACATCGAGACAGTCAGTCAATCAGTCTGTTGGACAGTCAGTTGATCAGATAGAGAATAGTAAGCTACTAACTCAGTACCTGCTGCACTCACTCACTCTCTTTCTTTTTCTCTCTCTCTCTCGCTTCTCTCTATATATATATATATATATATATATATATATATATATATATATATATATATATATATATATATATATATATATACACATACATGTATAAGGAGGTAGACCACATCCTTATTAGCACTCACTGGAGGATCCTCCGGAACTGCAGGGTTTACAGGAGCACCGAGTTCTGTGTTGTAGTGACCCTGCAAACTTCCATTTCAAAATTTCCCGTCTCTCCAGTGGCTACTCGTGTTTCACCTGGACAGATTGGGGGAAGACGAGTGCACACATGGGTTCGCCACAACAATCTCTGATCGGTTAACAGTGCTTGAAAGCTTGACGGACCCAGTAGCTCTATGGGATTCATTTAAGCATGAAACACTTGATACAGCGCAGGAGTCCATCAGTAAACGTCCCAGGACAAGGCAGAATTTCATCTCGTTGGGGACATTGGAGGCCACAGATGCATGTCACGTGGTTCATCTGAATGGCAATCAGAATTTGCTCCGTTCCTTGGTGCGCAGGGCTCGAACCCTGATGAGAAGGGATAAGAAACAGTTCATCAGAAATCTTGCTGAGGAGGTGGTGGGGGTTTGTCTTCTTTCCTGGTAACTTAGGAGTGAGGCTAGCTTGTGCCCTTGCACCAACACTTTTCACCACACATGAACTGGATAATGGTCGGAACTACTATCCAAAGTCAGTGTGGAGCAACACTGAGCAATATCAAGGTCTATGACCTTGATTTTGCCGACGATGCTATTCGGAGAGTCTCTGGAATCTCTAGTGGCGAATCTTGATGCATTCAGCAATGAGGCAAAGCCCCTGGGATTACGGGTCTCCTGGACCAAGACCAAAATCGAGGATTTGGGATGCCTGCCAGGAAAACCTGTTCAGTCGATATGCGCTTGTGGTAAGGATTTTGAAGTCACAGAGAGCTTTACATACCTTGGTAGTGCAGTTAATATCTCGGACATGATTATTTTGAAGCAGCAACAGGTGATACAGGAAGACTACAAATACAGATCTAGATGTGATAAATATGATACTACTACTGATAGTAAAGATAGCAACAGCAGCAGTAGCAACAGAAGAAAGAGCAACAATGATTACTGAAAACTATTGCAAATAATGATAACAATTACTATTACTATTATTATTATTATTATTATTATTATATATAGATAGATATAGATATAGATAGATAGATATACAGTATGCCATACTTAGTTACAATAGTATTTCCACAATTGATTTATCTTTATTGCTAAATATGTGAATTGGAGAAGCCAAGAGAAAGACAACAACATTGCGATATTTTATTTTAAAATACATACAAAAAATGTGATCAACCAGAATCTACTATTGTATTTATTTCACAGCTCACCTGTTGTTATGATGGATAGATATAACACCATTTTTATGAGGCTGTATATTCCTCTAATACTTTCATCACGTTACGACAAAGGCACGACTTACGGTGATACAATACACATGTGACAAAAAAATAGAAATATATATATATAAATAATGCACACACAAAAACGCACGTATACTCACACACGTAATCAGGTGACGGAGTAATGAAAATGACATTGTTATTAGTGAGAGGTTGGACCCGAAGATGGAATCGAGGACGATTCCGAAACTGTTGTCTCACTTTCCTCAATAAATCTAGTTTGTGCATTGTGGGTTTTTTTTCCATATTATCAACACGGTATTGTGTTTTTCATTGCATGCAGTGAGAGGTTACAGATTGGTCACTAAATCGAACCACAAAATTCCTACTCAAAACACGATACATTTTTCAGAAAGTAATGACCATTTTCCTTCATCTTTTCCACCTCATTTTATCCCTGCGTGTATTCCTCCCTCCTCACACAGCCCAACCCCCAGCCCGACATTTTCTTCAACGAGGCAATATCTTAGACGGCAAAAACGGTTCTGGAATCCTACTCCTCCTCACGCACGCCACGCAGACCATCACCAGGAAGAAAACGCCGGCCACGTGCCATGTGAAGAGCAGGGAAACCAGCTGTTGCGAAGGACTGTAGATTTCCCATTCTTCGCCAGGGTGAGAGGTCAGGCGCCACACTTGGTAATACCATGTTCCCTGCGAATATAAGGGAGAAGGGGAGGGATTCCGATTAGGGAAGGTTGGTGTGTCGGTATGGGGGGGAAAGAGGGAGAGAGAAGAGAGAGGAGAGAGAGAGAGAGAGAGAGAGAGAGAGAGAGAGAGAGAGAGAGAGAGAGAGAGAGAGAGAGAGAGAGAGAGAGAGAGAGAGAGAGAGAGAGAGAGAAGAGAGAGAGGAGAGAGAGAGAGAGAGAGAGAGAGAGAGAGAGAGAGAGAGAGAGAGAGAGAGAGAGGGGAGGGAATGAGCAAATTGACGAGAGAGAGAGACAGAAAGATTTTTTTTTTAGAATCAGATGTATATTTCACCGTAATCTCACACCTGCAAAAGCGTGAAATAACTCCGACAAGCGCGGGCAAAGACGTTGTTCTTGTAGCACATCTCCAAGGCCGTGGACACCGGCAGGCCACACGACGAGTAGAACAACATCATATGAACCTGTAATTCACACATTTAACACACGAATGATACAACAGATATATGTAGACGATGTGTTAGGCTTGTTTACAGGATTTCCAGAATCGTGTCTACAACAAATTTGCTAGTGTGAAGAGCTGTTCAGAAAATTATGCTGAACCAATCCCGCATCATCAGCACTTAACTAAATTTGTATCATTGGATAATACGAAGTTAGGAAAGTCATTAGCATTATCTCTTTCATCATGAATTAAAAAAAAGAAAAACAAAATCCACCTCAGAGTCCAATGAATTCCGCCCATGCAAGTCATAGAAAATGGAGAAGGCGTGCATGACGGTGGCGAGGATGAGAGTGACGTAATCAAGGTCCGGAAGGAAGGTCGGGTTGAGGTCGGCCAGGCCAGACAGCATGAAGAAGAAGTAGGTCATGCCATGGTGGGCGTGGTCGACACCGGAATGGATGCTCGACTCCGCCCAGCCCGAGATGAGTTCGTCTGCGAGAGAGAAAAGCTGTGAGGCTGTGGCGGGGAGTCTTCTTGATGGCGTGTGTGTGTGTGTGTGTGTGTGTGTGTGTGTGTGTGTGTGTGTGTGTGTGTGTGTGTGTGCGTGCGTATACATAGATATTTCTATGGTAAGAAAGACGCTTCTATTGTCAAAACAAAGGTTTGGTAAATATGTGTGACGAAATAAAACGTAAGACAATATATGCGATATGTTCTAAAACATAAGAAAATGCATAAACATATATTGAATAACAGAGAGTAATACGATTGTAGAGAAAGAGAACATGAAATTATATTCTCAATTATAATAAGCAAAGGAATGATGAAATATTAGAAATCGAAGAGCCACATACTTGCCGAAATAGTTTACCGATAATTCGAATCACGAATTTCTCATCTAAGAATAGAAGGAACTTGGCGTCACACTTGGCAGAGGCCGCGTCGGCAGAGTGACCTTTAGGTATTTTGCAGGCAATTTATGTGTGCGTGTGTACATGTATATATAAAAGAATATATACAGATACACACACAACACATATAGATATATATACAATATATATATATATATAACATATATATATATATATATATATATATATTATATATATATATACTATATATATATATACTATATATATATATATATATAATATATTATATACTTATACTATTATATTAATGTATATGTATGGTGTATATATATATATATATTATATATACTATATATATATATATATATATTAGGGTTTTATTGCGCCGGAAACCCCCCCTTAGCGGCAAACTTGGGCACTATATCGGGGGGGACGATGTCGGAGCGGCGGTCGGAGCAGCGGACGTAATATAGTTAATTTTGACGATTTTGGTATCGTTGGATTCCTCTCCTCTGTACAATCCAAATATGTAGGTTTTATTGCGCGAAAACCCTTTTTAGCGGCAAACTTGGGACTATATCGGGGGCGACGATGTCGGAGCGGCGGGACGTATTATAGAAAATTACCTAATTATATAACCCACAGTGAAAATATCCATGGTAATTCACATGGCTTTCCATTGCAGGGGACTGCACCCCCTGCGACCCCCCCTGGGGGGGGCTGCAGCACCCCCCAACCCCCGCCGAGGAAACAAAAATCCACACGTATTCACGCAGATAGAGCGCACGAACTAGACGCCGGAGTCGATAACCTACCCAGTAACCTAGGATTTTTAAGGGTACTAACCTGATTGATATTTAAATGCCGCCGCATAGTTAGAGACGGGTGCCCCGCAGAAGATCCTCATCCTGGCTTGTTGCTGCCTCGCCGCAGAAAAGAATCTTAATCTCGCGAGTGAGGAGCACCCTTCACACACGCGGCGGCCATGGCGAAGTACTGAATGCGCGGTTCATTCGGTTAGGATTTCGAAAATCGTGTTCCAGGGGACGGGAAACTCGAACCTTGAGGCTATCGGCGTAACATCGAGAGAGGGCGCCAAACCCGCCGACGAGGGCGCTCTTCTGTTCATGGTATACTCTGTTCATCCTGATTGTACTACCGTGTCTGTCATGCTTATTACAATGCTGGACTTATGTCAAGGTTAGTATGCTTATTCAGTGGGGAATGTTACGAGGTAAATGTAATACGTCCGCCGCTCCGCGATCGACGAGAATTGTGTTAACGCCTCTAGCCCGCCGGGGAATACGTGGTGGAAGCGTTTTGTTTCCTCGCGGTGGGTTAGGGGGCGGCAGACCCTCCCAGGGGGGTCGCAGGGGGTGCAGCCCCCTGCAATGGAAAGTCATATGAATAAACCATGGTTATTTTCACTGGTAGGTTATATTATTAGTGTTATTTAACCTCGATTTTCTCTAGAACCTTCCATGCCCTCCCTTGCAATCGGGCCAAGTTTTCTCGCTAACGGGGGGTTTCCGCGCAATAAAACCTACATATTTGGAATGTGGGCAGTGAGAGGAATCCAACGATACCAAAATCGTCGATATCGGTGTGGCGAAGGGTAATATAGAAAAATTACCCATATATACTTATTTATATGTATGTATGTATATGTATAGTTATATTTAATGCAAGTTTTTTTGTTTATGTACCTTATGGTGTAATTTTAGTAAATTGTGATCCCTTATGGCATATCGTTTTAGTTAGTCTTAAGCTCTTCTGGCACTTGCATTTAGTTTTACTTTGGTGCCTTCTGCCACTGTTATTTTTGTTCATTTTAGGGTTTTTGTACTTTTTATATGTATCATCTCATATTGGTCACGCTCTTGGTAAACGTACATCTCTGGGGACAGTTTTGCTTGTGAGTTCATGTTGGTTCCGAGCCTTCGTCTTGGTCCCCTCACCCCCTTTTCGAGGAACAAACGGGGCCTCTCGTTTATCTTGGCCCTTAAGCCTGAAGTCGCCGCCTCATGGGAGGCCTCAGTTTTGCGTTTCTCTTTCACATAATCTTACACACCTAATGTAGCGCGCAGACTGCTTCCTCCTTCAGGCAGCAGACGAAGGTGTTTACTTTTATTCTTAACCCCCCCCTTTCCCCCTTTGTCCCACCCCTCCTCTTTTTTTTTTTTTTTGTTTTTTTTTAAACCAATTTTTGTTCTGTTTCCACCTTTGCTCTGCGGCATAAACACGCATGCATTCTCACAAGGTGGAATGAGCTGCATAAAAGGTATGTCTGCAACCAGAAGTGTGAGGGGCAAAGAAATGCAGTACAGAGGCAGATTGGCAGTACAGATGAAGGTCACTCGCTCAGGTTCACCCAACTGCCGCGGCGGCCCTCGGCATGAACCGGGGCATGGATCAATGGCATGTTGCACACTTACCGTACACAACAATTATCGTATATATATATAGTTATATATATTATAGCATATATTTTATATATTTTATATATAGTATAAATATATAACATGTTATTATTATATTATATATATATAGTGTATATATTAACATTATATATAACAACAGACTATACAACAATTACATCGGATATAGTATACTATAGTCTTCATTCGCACAACACAACATAGCATCACACACACCTGACACGACACATCCACACACGCACACACACCACACAAATACAGTACACACACACCACACACACACTAGTTGTAAGATTTAGACACACATCACAACACACACACACCACACACCACCTAGGCACACAGACACACACTAACACTCGCATATTTGCACAGTGCATAGGTGCATTGTGTGCTGAGCGATGACACGTATGACACAATATATGATATATATATTATATAGACTAGTGTCATTATTACTATATATATGTAGAACCACATACATTACAAACATGTATTTCATACATCATACATAATATATATAGATATAATATATAATATAGTAATATCATATATATATATATGTAGTTGATTTTATATTTATATTTTACCAGAATACAATAAATATCAGCACCAGCAGTGGATCGTGCGACACCACACAGCACACACACACAATGTACAACACCACACACACAGCGTCACACATCGAGTGTGGACACAATGGTTTGACTGCGTCCCATCAGCAACATATAATATATATACATATATATACGCTATATAGTATATATTATATATATATACTATATGAATACATACAGCAATCACGTACATAATGTGGATATTGAATTATTACACATACATGCACACTACACACATCACATATCACAGACACACACGACATTGTTGAAGGATCTCCACACACACACACACACACACAACACAATGACTGGCATCACACGACACATACATCGTTGTGTTTCATACACACACAAGCTTATGTAAGAACAAGGACACAGCAACAGCACATATATATATATATATAGTATACGGAGTATATATAATTACTACTATATATATATAATATATAGTATCATAGTATTATATACTTATATATATATTATATATAATTATTGAATACATACATACACTACACACACCAGATTCTGGTTAGCCTTGGTAATCTAATGTAGTGATACACACAAGAGGGCAACATACATAATATTACTAGGGTATTTATATATAATAATGTCCTAATATAATATAATATATGATATGTAGTATATATGAGGTATAAAATAATTTGGTTTATAAAATATATATATAGTATATTATAGCTATATATATACATATTATCTTTATAGTGGTATACCATAAATATATATTATATAATATTCATTGTATCTTTATACTGTTTTACTATATATATATATATTATATAATAATATAGTAATATAAATATATATGTATATATATATATATATATATATATATATATATATATATATATATATATATATATAATATATATTATATATATTAATATATATATATAATATATATATAATATATATATTAATATATATATATATACTATATATATATATATATATATATAGTATATATATATATATATAATATATAATATATTATATATATATAATATATATATATATATATATAATATATATAATATATATATATATATATATTATATATATAATATATATATATATATATACTATATATATATATATATATATAGTATATACATACATACACATAACACAACACACACACACACACACACACCACACACACACACACAACACACACACACACACATACACACACACACACACACACACATGACACACATCCACACACATATTATATGTGTTTGTGTGTGTGTGTGTGTTATATATATATATAATATATATACATTATGTACCATACACATGCACACCTATAAATATCTATGTGCTTGTCTCCCTTTCAATACACAGCAGTCCTACCAACCTGTCAAAGCGAAGAGCGGCACCAGCACCTTCAGCATCGCCTCCAGGTGATCCCACGACCGTCGCGCACAGCTGAAGGAAGCTGTACTGCGGTATTGTGCCGACTTTTCCCCCTCGAAGCCAAGCCTCGTCCTTCTCCTGCCCCAAGAAGTAGCGGCAGAGGACTCGGTATGTCCACCAGGTCCCCAGCAGGAGGAGGCAGGCGGCCCGACCAGCATACCCGAGACAGGACATTTTGGTTCTGTGCGTGAGTGGGCAAGAGATTAAAGAATGCGACTGAAATTTATAGGAAAGAGGTTTACTTTGTTACTGACCACAGAGAGTGACGTGAAATTTATATAGATAGATAGATAGATACATAGATAGAGAGAGAGAGAGAGATAGGTAGATAGATAGATAGATACTATATGTAGATATAGATATAAATGTGTGCGTGTGTGTGTGTGTGTGTGTTTGTGGACATTTAATATATATTAGAGATAGAGAGAGATAAATAAATAGATATGTATGTATATATATAAATACACACACACACACACACACACACACACACACACACCACACACACACACACACATATATATATATATATATATATATATATATATATATATATATATATATATATATATATATATATATATATATCGAGAATATAGAGATAGGAGAGAGAGAGAGAGAGAGAGAGAGAGAGAGAGAGAGAGAGAGAGAGAGAGAGAGAGAGAGAGATGTGTGTGTGTTTGTGTACATTTATATATTATATATATTATATAATATATATATATATATATATATATATATATATATATATATATAGAGAGAGAGAGAGAGAGAGAGAAGAGAGAAGAGAGAGAGAGAGGAGAGAGAGAGAGAAGAGAAATAGACAGATATATATGTATATAACATGAGTCATCATATATTGTAAATAATATATATAGATATATAGTATATATACAGTATATAGATATTCTACTATAGATATATTATTAATAGTTGTCAGTGGCACACAAGACACACATTGACACACACACCGACGACACGTCAACTGATAATAGCACACACACACAACATCACACACACCAAAGCGGGTACACACATATATGATAGTATATTAGTGGCTATATATATATATATATATACTTATATATATACTTAGAAATAGATAGATACGATAGATAGATAGATAAATTAGAGTAGATAGATTAGATGATACAGGATAGATAGATGAACTAGATAGATGTATTATAGATGGATAGATATAGACCATATACATACATCACACACACACACATTATGTGATAATACACACAACGCGCACAACACGGTGTAGCACTTGTCGTTTAACACATATTAAGCCCCATCTACACACACACACACAGAGTATCACACACACACACATGTTAATAAGATCACATGAGCCGCACACATACTAATTATAATATATATATATATTATTATATTATATGATATATATTATATGGTATGTATAGTAAGTACATACACATCTATATACATAAATATATGTATAGTGTTATATGCCCATATGTTATGTATATGCCATATGATATAGATAGAATAGAAAGATAAAGAGATTGCGTAGATATGTATATATATATATAATATAATATAATACTAATAGTATTCTATATCTATATTAATAGTATATATAGTAATGTAGTTAATGATAGTATATCGATACACACATACTACAGACACACCAAATGCAACAAACACAACACAATGTACACAAAGAAGTCTGTTCATTCTTTAGTGGTACGCGTCAACACGCCACACACACAGCACACACACACACACGGCTACACAGGCATCCTAACACACACACATGGATTTATGATGATCCAAGAGTGCAATCAATCATCCAGACACACTCACATGGTTGCGCACTTGTCACACATCACACACACAGCGACCACACACACAACAGGGTGCGGTAACAACACACACACAGCGTGGCACATTATACTTTATATCATAACTCTATATCAATTTCATATATATGATAGTATATAGGTACATATATACACACATACATCACTACACATGATATATCATGATATGATATATATATATTATTATATATATAATAAATACTATGGTAGGTATATAGGTAGTAATGATGCGGCCATATAATACGATATAGGTATATTATATACTAGTATTATATTATATATATGAATGATATATGTATATGATATTAAGTATACACACAGTGATTACACCATCCACATCAGTGTTATCAATTGAAGAGTGAATAATAGGTACTTCCTACCCAGCAGACCCTTCCTTGGGTGTGCCTGAACTCGAGCTCCTACACACACAAGTGGAGGCGACACAGCAGCAAGGGCTTGTATCGATGATAACCACAACACACACACACACACAGGGTATGTAGTGCGTTGCTATCGCATGTCTAGGAACACTTCTTTACTTGTGACAATTTTCCATGTCGCACATACACACTACACATATATATTAATATATATAATATATAGATATACATATACCATATGAATATATGATAAGAGTACATACACACCACACACACTACAGGCAGCACAAGGGTCTCATATTGCTAAGCAGCGCGCACGGCACACATTGGAACACACACCACAAGCAACACACAACAATTGCTGTCCACACAACACACCGACACACAATATATATAGTATTATATATATATATATATATATAATATATTAGTATACTATATATAGTATATACCATTATATATATATACATATAGTATATATATAGATATATATATATATATATATAATATGTGTGTGATCTGTGTGTGTGTGTGTGTGTGTGTGTGTGTGTGTGTGTGTGTATGTATTTATAACTAGTCATTTATCTAATCGATGTGCATTGGAATATCGAACATTGGCCAGATATATCCACATCTGGCGAGTAGTGGCGGCACAAAAAATATACAACACCCACCCACCACCCCACCCTATATATTATATGTATATATGTATGTGTGTGTGTGTGTGAGTGGGTGAGTGTGTCTAGGAGTGAGTGTGTGTGAGTGTTTTGTGGCTGTGTGAGTGTGTGTGTGTCGTTAAAGCAATATACATGTATTCAATGAATGGCTGGTTATTCCATTATCATTATTATTATGATTACCATTATCATTATTATTACATCGTTATCATTATCATTATCATCATCATTATCATAATCATTATTTCTTTTTTATCAAAATCGTGTAATTTAATTTCGTGCTGCCTTTCAAGAAGACACGGAATCCACGGAAAAAAGTAAACATTACCAGGCATCTAAAAAGAGATAAATCAAACCCAACAATTAGATAAAAATAAATGCACAGTTTGCACGCATTTTTGCCACCGCCACGAAACCTATCGGAGTTCGCGAAAATATAGATCTTTCGCCTGTGAGAACAACTTTGAACGAGTAAGGATTAGATACGATAAAGTGAGTGAAATATAACTGTAGATATAAACGGGGGTAAATTTAGCCGGTGTTCGTTTGCAGTGGGCGGGCATTCAGAAGTGTGTGTGTGTGTGTGTGTGTGTGTGTGTGTGTGTGTGTGTGTGTGTGTGTGTTTGTGTGTGTGTTGTGTGTTTGTGTGTGTGTATGTGTGTATGTGTGTGTTGTGTGTGTGTGTGTGTGTGTGTTTGTGTGTGTGTGTGTGTGTGTGTTTGTGCGTGTGTGTGTGTTTGTGTGTGTGTGTGTGTGCGTGTGTGTGTGTTTGTGTGTGTGTGTGTGTGTGTTTGTGTGCGTGTATGTGTGTGTCGTGTGTGTGTGTGTGTGTGTGTGTATGTGTGTCTGTGTGTACATGTGT